TAGATCTCGAGTGTATATGTATCTTAGCCCCCATGGTAGATTTAATTTAAGTTTAATACAAACTGTATGCTGTTTTTTTCAGATAACCGTTTTGTCTTCCTGTCATATCTCTTTGCAGAATCCAGATTCCAAAATGATGCAAATCAACCTGACTGGTTTTTTGAATGGGAAAAATGCTAGGGAGTTCATGGGAGAACTGTGGCCACTGCTGTTAAGTGCACAGGAAAACATTGCTGGTATTCCAACTGCATTTCTGGAATTGAAGAAAGAAGAAATTAAACAGCGACAGGTAGGATTTTGTTACAGACTTGTGGGTGAGTTGTGAGCATTATGTAGAATTAGTGGATGTGTAAGTATTGGCATTCAGATATTTTGTGTTCAGCAGAACTCTTATTTGAGCAGTAAAAATACCTTAGTCTGAAGTAGTAGTTCTTTTTGTTTAAAATAGATTTTCGATAAGGTCTCTGTGTTACCTCTGAGTTAAGTGACATTTGGTTGCTTAGATAGAGCAAGAGAAACTGGCTTCTATGAAGAAACAAGATGAAGACAAGGAGAAGAGGGACAAGGAAGACAAAGACAACAGAGAAAAGAGAGACAGATCCAGGAGTCCAAGAAGGTAATGAAAATGCACAGACAGTGTCTCAACAGTACTCTAGACTGGGGCGAAGAATTGCACGGCAGAGAAAAGTCACTGAAATTTGAAGTAACTCAAGGGGAGTATTTCCAGCAAGCTAGTTTGACTTACTGCTAAACAGTAATTGCAATTACTAGAGCAACATTGAAAAAGGTGTTGTTTACATTAGGAACTGTTTTTAATAAATTGTTCTGTTCAAGACTTTGTCTTAATTTTTTGAAGTTTGACATCTTAATTTGGCTGTAAATTACCAGCAGAAAATCTGAAGTAGTCCTACACGTGTTTTAACTGCTGTACACAGTACTGAGAGTCTGCCTGATTAAGAAGAGCTTTAAGCTCCTGAATATTAAGCTCCTGTTTTTTATTTTTGCATACGTTGTTTCATTATATTGTGGTGCTTCTTTTTCCTAGACGCAAGTCAAGGTCTCCTTCCCCTAGAAGGAGATCATCACCTGTCAGAAGAGAGCGGAAACGCAGCCATTCTCGCTCCCCTCATCACAGAACCAAGAGCCGTAGTGCTACTCCTGCAGCAGAAAAGAAGGAGGCAACTCCTGAGCCAGAACCCTCTGTGAAACCAAAGGAGACTGTTGTTCAAGAGGCAACTTCAAACAGGTAAGCGATAACTTTGTGTGTAGAACTATGTATTACTTTTAACAAGAATTTAAGATAATTTTCTTTTTTTTTTTTTTTTAAGATCGTTCCCCCTAGCTTGTGTAGGGACAGTGTCTGCTTCTCCTTATCCCCCTAAAATGGCAAAAGAATTTAAGAATCTTCAGTAAGATTTCTTTTTTCCTGTGTAGAATTCTAAAGGTAGACTGCTAATCTGCCACTGTTGTTTCATCATACTGGGCATCTTTTCTGCTTCTGACAATGTCATCTTGTTTCCTAGCAAGTTAAGAGAGAGCCTGATTATTACTTTTCCTTGTCTTTGAATCATTGTACCATATTCTAATTCTTTACACAATTTTGAAGTGGGGTCTGTAACGTCTTGTCAGTGGATGGGCAAGAGAATGTTGTTGGGGAACATCTTGTCAGCTTCTAAAATGTTACTCCAGTGGTTATGGTTTGTATGTGCTTGTAAATTAATTCTTTGTTTTTTAATAGTGATATCCCAAAAGCTCCTAAATCTGAACCTCCTGTGCCAGAGACTAAGGAAACTTCACCAGAACGTAATTCAAAGAAAGAGAGAGAGAAGGAGAAAGAGAAGACTCGTCAAAGATCCCCAACTCGGTCCAAGTCGAGGTCAAGGTCTCGATCCCGTTCTCCATCTCATTCCCGACCAAGAAGGCGTCATAGATCACGGTCAAGGTAGGACTTCAGCTTGTCTTGATTGCAGAGATTGAGAACTGAATGTTTTCTTCTGAAGTTGCCATTTAATTTAATGTTCTCAGTTAAGGTAATGATGTTTTTAATGATGTTGAGTTGTGAGTGTTGTAGGCCAAATGAGAATGACACATTCAGTGAATAAGCGTGCTCAGGAGTTTTCATCATATCAGTTCATGGGAGGATTCTTACAGGGACTTACACTGACTGAGGACAGAACAGGGTACTTAATGCTGACTGTGTCATTTGGTAGTGGGAATTATGTAGCCTTTTAGCAGGTAGGTTTACTGAAGGTTTTGCAGATTTTCCCCTCCCACTTTTTTTTTTTTTTTTTTTTTTTTACTACTTAGCATAAGGTATTGATAAACATAAAAACACTGTGGCTGAATGTACTGCTTGGCACCATAATTTAAATGCTGCTGTAATGTAATGCACTTGGAGAGAAGCAACTTTACACTCAATTCCCTGAGGCTAAATTTCCTCAAATCTGAAAATTATTAGGTAGTTGCTTTTCATTTGAATTTTTGATTGTGACAGGTCTTACTCTCCTAGAAGGCGACCAAGCCCAAGACGACGACCATCCCCAAGGAGGAGGAGTCCTCCAAGGCGATTGCCTCCCCCACCCAGACACAGAAGAAGCAGATCGCCTGTGAGGCGGTAAGGTTCCCTTTTTTTGAGACACTTGAAAATTTTATACTCAGATTTAGAAAGTAACAGTCATTTCTGAAAACTCAATGTTATCAAAATCACCTTATTCATCTTAACCTAATGCTGTTTGTAATAGATAATTTGAGTGACGTAAGAGCTGCGATGTCATATTTCATGAGTTTGGGGGGGCATTCTAGTTGCTGTGGCATGATTTCTTTTGAAATTAAATTATTGCTGAGAATTCCAGTTCTTTGAAAAGTAGCAACTTCAAAACTTGCTTGAAATAGCTCTCGGTAGCTCCCAGCATAGACGGACATTGCATCTTCTGTAACAGTTTTTTTTCCCCACTTGAGGGAAAATGTTGAATAATTTACTATGAATTTTACTTCTAGGGATTTTTTTTATTATGAATCACTTTTCCATCACATAAAGTTAAGGTCAAAATTAAACTTTGACTTGAAATGTATTTCTTCATGTTCTTTTGCTTCAGTAAATAAAAATCTTTTCAGATTGGCTCTTTGTTGTTGAAGGTTATATTTTTGATGGCGCGAGCAATTTTTCTAGTAGGAAAGCTCCGAGTTGTACTGCAGAGAATTGCATACTTAGGGTAATGTCAAAATAGATGTTTGTCTTCATAGGCAGAGAATAGATTCTTGTTTTGGCGTAGAAAGAGAATTAGTGATGCTTCCTGTGTACAACAGTTACTTCTTTTTAAGAAGGAACAATTCTTCCTTTTTTTTTTTTGTTTATGACAAGGTGATAAATACTTTTTTGAGTTTGTAGAGATGCTCATTTTGCACAGTTACTGTGAGAACTGTGAAAAGTATCAAATATGTATGTTTCGAGATGTACAAGAGCTCCCTTTCAGCAAATGTTTATCTCACTCAAGGTAGGGTTTCTTTTTTCCAGGTTCTCAGGAATTCTGCAGCCAAAGGTGGATTCTGCAGGTACACAATTACAACAGAACTTGCCACAAATTTTGCCGCAGAATTCTAGAGGCCCTACCTTTTTAAAATTGCAAAGTAAAGTTGAAAGACTAAAACACAAGGAGGAATATGCTGATTCAGAATTGTTAAACTGTCTGAATTTTTTTTCTTCCTGGTATAAAAACTTTTTAGCATACTTGCCCACTAAACTCTTAAATAGATCTGTTTTGAAGATCATTAAATCACATCTGCTAACATGGAGAATTCTCTTAACCATCCAAAAGTTAGAAAGCCCAAAGAAAACTAATTGTACCGAGGTGAAAAGCTTAGTTGTAGTCCGTAGATTGACAGAAAGCAAGTAAAGGTAACACTAACATTTATTTATTTTTTTTTTTGCTCACTGTAGTTTAAAGATAACTGAAAGATTGGTTGTTAGTCTGTTTTACAAGCCACATGTTGAAGGCTGTCCACCATGTTTTGGGATTGCTGTTGTATGTGGCTCTCTATGTGCTTGCAAACAAATGCAGTTCTGTGCTCATGCTCAAACATTTCCTAAACTGACTAGTCATTGTCTAATGTTATACTTGATTTGCAGGAGAAGACGGTCATCGGCATCTTTATCTGGTAGTAGCTCCTCTTCCTCCTCATCACGTTCCCGATCACCACCAAAGAAACCACCTAAAAGAACTGTATCCAGTCCTCCCCGTAAAACGCGTAGGATGTCTCCTTCTGCAAGCCCTCCTAGACGGAGGCACAGACCATCTCCACCAGCAAGTCCACCTCCAAAACCACGTAGATCTCCAACGCCTCAGCAGTCAAATCGTTCAAGAAAAAGCCGTGGCTCTGTTTCACCTGGCAGAGCATCAGGTAACAATTTTTTTTCAGCACTTTAGTCTTTTTGGGTTTTCATTTTCTCAAAAATGGTATTTACTGTTTGTGAGAGCAGAAAAACATGCATGGATGTTTAAAAAAAAAAAAAATTACAGCACAGTAACTTGACTTTTGTTCTTTAGCACCCAAACATAAGAGTACTGAAAAAAGAGAATCTCCTTCACCAGCGCCAAAACCAAGGAAAGCTGATCTGTCTGAATCGGGTATGGTTGCCACTTTTCAGCACTGGTTTTGGGTGGGGTTTTTAATCAGGTATATGACAATAAAAGGTACTAGTAAAGTGCCAAATCCTGTTGATAAACTGGCATTGAAAGAAAGATCTTTTCAGAAACATAAAAATAATCACTCATACTGCGTAAGGTCTTTCATCTGAGCTTTCTTGGAAAAAGCTCAGCCAAAAAATACTCCAGACTCAATACAACCTTAAGATGAGGAGAGTTAATTAAAAAAAAAAATGCTTGATCTACTGTATTTAATTACTTCTGCCTTGATAAGACAAATTTGTATTTTTAATTTAATTTTTGTTTGTATGTACATTTTCAGAAGAAGATAAAGGAGGTAAAATGGCTGCAGCAGAT